ATCAGGGGCAGACGCCCCACGGCTCGCCCTCCCACCCCACGGATTTCAGATCGCTGTGTGCCCACCCAGGGGTGTGGGTTTTTTAGGCCTCGCACAAATACAGGGCATTTCCTCACCCCACCTGGCCACAGCATCTTCCTTACCCTCTCCCAGCAAAAGGGAAAGGCCCAAGGGGACTCAGCAGTCTCCATACTCAGTCCTCCGTTACCCTCGCGTTAGATGTCGCTCGGGAAAGAAGTTAAAAACCAGCCCCACGTTGCAAAGAGTAACTGTGCTATAAAATGACTTTGCAAGCAGATGGATTCCCCCTAAACGCTGCGTGGGAGATGCCACCCATCCCTCCGCTTCTGAGGGGGACTTTGTTAATTGCTAAGTGCTGGGAGTATGGTTTTTGTGCTTGAAATCCAACCTGCTCCAAGGCGACAGACGTGCGGCGCCGGACGCCCTGGCCTTAGCCCATGCTGCCATCTCCCGGCAGCCCACGGCCACGGCAGTGGGGTGGTCCCCACCAGGCTGGCACCCCACCAACGCATCCCAAGACAGCAAGGAGTTGACAAAGGAGCTCCGTCCTCCTCCCCTTCAACCCTGCGGCGTGCTCCCTGGTACCCCCAGAGCTGTATTCCCATTCCCACCCCGCTACTTTGCCAGGGAACCAGTGCCACCAGTGTCAGGGGGGGCTATGGGGAGCAAAATGAATCCACAAGCAACACTCAACCCTCCTGGCATTGCTGCGAGCCCCCAGGTCACTCTACCATCGTGATGCCCAGGCTCCAGATATCAGATTTGACGCTGTATCCCTTCTGGTTCAGCTCTGGGTTAATTCTTTCAGGCTGTGAACAGAGACAAAGGCGGTTGAGGAACAGGGCTGGCCCCAGTGCAACGCTCACACCCAGGGCTCACCGATCTCAGATGGGTCTTTCAGGGTGGCAGGCCTGGACCACTTAGCCCGTGTCACTAGCTTGCTCTCTTGGTTGTTGTGGGGCCAGATCTGGTCCTACATCCTTGCCAGTAAGGGCAGGCAGTGAAATGGGTCACCAGAAGGAGATGGTACCTGCACCAGGGATTGGGGTGGTGGAGTTGACCTGGCACATCTGGCACGTAGGAGGTGACAAGGCTCAGTTCTCCAGGACCATTTCCACCCTATGCAAGTGGGTACCACAGAGGGTAAATCCTGAACAGCAGCTCCAGGGAGGAGTCTGAGGGACCCAATCCCTGGGGACTGTTTGTCCTCCCAGATGGAAAGTACTATTGTCCCCAGAGGGCAAACGGCAAAAATGCAACACGGAGTAATTACTACGGAGCCTTCCCCAAGGCCACTGGGAGGTGATAAGGCAGCAGGAAGCTGTGCCCGGGAGATCTGATCTGACTCAGGAGATCTGTCTCCCCTCTACAAGTAACTTCAGGGATACATCTTCCAAAACGAGTCCCCAGGACACATGCCGGAGGCTGATCCTTCCCCCTTTCGGATGACCCGATGCCCAGGCTCATGTTCCTCTGGCTGTCCCACAACAGCTTTCACACGCAGCTTCTCCGCGGCTCAACTTACAGCCATGTAGGGTTTGCATCCTGCATCCATGGTTTTAGCAACCGAGTCAACGAGGTAACCGCTAATTCCAAAATCGCACATTTTCACCTGCCCCTGCGTATTGATCAATACATTAGAGGGCTTTACATCTGCAAGAAGGAACACATACCACAGTCACTGTCACGCATGGGTGGCTGTGCCAAGCCAAAAAAAGGCCAAAGAGCTTCGTAGCAGCAGAGGGCATCAAAGGTGCCCGTGCAAACCCCTGCGCTTTGTGCGTGCCAGAAACTCGGCTGGCTGCGGCTACTGCAAGTTCAGGTGACAGCCTCATGGGCCTGTCATATGTCCTGCAAGTGTCCCTTTACTTGCAGACTCCTCTCTCTGATTTGGGGGAGCGGGAGGTAACCCTGCACGGAAGCGTTGTATCCCCCTGTGCAGGGGATGGCCACGGACACCAGAGTTCCCAGAACGGAACACGGACAACGGAGTGCCCTCAGGAACATCCCAGAGGATGTCTGCAAATGGCTGGAGATCTGGCAAGTCCCCACCTGGATCTGGTCTCATGCCAGCAAAAGGAAAAATCCATGGGTAGGAAAGAGCGAAGAGGAGCAGGGGTTGCAGGGGAAGGACGGAGCAGTAAACTAAGACAAGGATCAACATTTCAGAAATGGCCTCTGATTTTAAGGATACCAAGCTTGAAGGCCATGTGAACAGCAGCAGGCGTGTGGGTGCTTCACGCCTTATGGAAATCAGGCCAGTGTCTCATCTATTTATTACTGCCAGATTTATCTGCTTCCCATCATGGCCTTATAATCCTTGGTGCATTCACACTTGCATCACACTCCTGAAGGCAGTTATAATCACCATCAGAAAGGGAAATTAAGACCGAGAAAGAAGCTAGTAAGGGATACCCATGAGAGTGTGGAGGTGCTTTCCTGCACAGCAGCAGGCTATCACTCCCTGCGAGGCTAATCCCAGATGGAATTTGAACACAGAGCAGGTAGTGCAGGCTACCCTGTTTTCTCTTGTCCCAGCACTGATCCTCAAAAGGGAGCAATCCTTTCCCTGTTGCCACCCAGAAATAAGAGGTCTCTTCTGCAAGAAGGTCCTCTGTCTCCATGTGATAAACTATTAAATAGAAATGCTGAAACATGACTCGAAGGAAGCCAGAAGCTGCTTTTGAATCCAGCTTATTAGAATCAGGTGGTTTACAGTCCGCTAACATCTGCTCTCTAATCGGCATTTTACAATTAAAAGCTTCAGGTATCTGAGTTCCCCACCCATCTGTTACTATGCTGAAATAAGACCATTTTCACTGGAAATCCAGCAAGTAAACAGAAATCCAGAAGCTCAGCAGCATTTTCCACCTACTGTAAATGATACAGAAGGCAGAAACTCAACCCCCAGCCACAAGCAGAATGTACAAAATGTGACTGCCGGCTAGAACTGAACTGTGTTCACTTCAGATGGTCCTTTCCCTGGCAGTCACACACTCCACCGAGGGCTTTTTCCTCCTCACGACAAATTGAAAATAACCCTTTAAAAATCAAGGTGTCAAGCAGCAACACTGCAAATTTGTTTCTTTCTAAGCGTGTTCATGGCATCTTTGAGACACCCTGGAGGGCAAAATGTCAGAAGAGTTTAAGGAGGGTATTTATGACTTCACTTGAGGCTATTTTAGGTATCAAACTCTTCTGCCCCACCAGTGCCCAGGGAAGCTTACAGAAGGGGATGCGGATGGTTAGATCACTGCATGAGGCATCACGCTGGCATGGAGACATCTCTGACCACACCATGGAGCATGGAGCCATCGAGCTAGGGGAGAACCCTTCACAAAGCCTGATCCAAAGCCCATCAGGGTCAGAAGGAAAAGTCCATTTTAATTTTGCAGAGGTGTTGAAGCAGACTATGGATTTAGACCGTGCATTAGGGAAATGCAACCCAGGGGGAAACAGCCCTTTCTCTGCCAGCACAACTAGGCTGGAGCTCGCTTCTCCTCCACCTCGGGGAAACGCTGGGACCAGCACGTAGTTTTTAAAGAGCAAACCAGCAGACATTTCCTCTGACTAGGTTTTGCTAGTCATGAGATGCTGGGGAATATTTTTGCTGTCAAAGGCCCATTTTATCTCGGGTATTTTGGGAGCCCTGCGCCTGGCTGCAAGGCCAGCCCTTGCAAGGCTGAGAGCACAGGGCACAGGGCAGACAGACATCAGCATGGTCATGGCTGTGTGCCTGGCACTTACCTCTGTGGATCACGGAGAGCTTACTGTGTAGATGCTCTAGTGCTTTTACGATCTGAAACAACAAATCTAGAGTGAATCACAGCTGGTAGCACGATGATGAGGAGGATTTGCTATCTGGCTTCACCCACCCCATCCTCACCAGACCTGCTTGGAGGGAAGGAACTACATCTCCCACGAGTCCTGCACCCTCACAGCAGCCCACCGTGACAGTGGGTACCCAGGGATCTCCCAGGGGCTCCAGGACCCTTATGAGAAGGCAAAGGAGCTGCAGGGCCCTCCCCACATCTAACACCATGCTGTCACTCAGTTACAGGCACATTTGGGGTTATTTATGGGTTATAAATAACATCACCTCAGACCAGATACTGGATGCCAGCTAGGAATGTCTACGTGGGCTAGCCCATGGACCACGGTCTTCCTGGTGCAAATACAGCAGGGAGCTTGGGTCATGTAGGACTTGGCTTAGATGAGAAACACCCTTTCCCTTCCCTCCTCACCCTGCTAATACTCACAGAGACAGCTATTTTCCCTAAGATGTCCTCAGGAATCGTGAGGCCTTTGTCAATGACATGTTTGTAGAATTTGTCCAGTGACGTATCCATCAGCTCCATGCAAATCCACACGTCTCCCTGGAGGACAAAGAAAGCAAATGTCTGCCCACTGGAACGAAACATCCTTTCCTTTCCTTTCACATGGAAAGGTCTTCTTTGGCACTTGCCCTTTGCTGGCCTGTTTGCCTCTTCCCTGTCTTTTAAAACTCATTCAGCAAAACTGTACTGGGCTTTCTTTTCCCCTCCTCTCCAGCTGGAACTAAGTGCTGTCCACCTTCACTACCATTTAGGGTGTACTTTCTGTTGTCTTTTCCCAGAGCAGAGTCCTGGTGATATAGGAGTCCAGAACGTTATCAGGACTGAGGCTCCTACATCTTCAGGTCACTGCAAATGCTCAGCCAGGAAAAGTTCAGCTCTGCAGAGCTATGCTTAAAACTCTTCAATAAATCTTGCTTTTCAGAGCTTTTCACATTTTTCCTCCATGTGGCTTTCTCACTGCAAGTCACGACAATATTAACACCAACAGACCAGGCTGTTAGTTGGTGTCCTTGGCACCTGGCCGTCCCCATCACTCAAACTCACTACCAAGCCCCAACATCTCGGCACAGGGCCCTCGGACATTCCTGGCACTGGGGCTTGGCTGCCCTTGGCTCCTTCTCACGTGGGACCACATCCCTCCTCGCTCGTCAAGAAGTAACTGTACGTGACAGATATCCTTGGGCCTGGATTAAGCAAATCCATATTGTAGCAAGTCTCCATGTCCAGATGGAGAGTAAAACTCTGGCACTTGGAGGGAGTCTAGGCATGGGAATTCAGAGCCTCAGAGAGGATCCAGTCTCCCAGGGGCAGCACGGTTGATCTCTAGGATGTCATACCTCTCGGAAAAGTGCCCCATAAAAGGTGACAGTGAAGGGGCAATCTACCGTCCTCATGGAGATATCCAGATCCATCAATAACCTCTTCTGCTCCTGGCTGTTCACTGTGGCTCGGATCCGCTGGAAGACAAAGTATTTTAGCAGCGGCTGTCAGCATCTCCGTACCACAGCCATACCCATGCTGGCCACAGTGCCAGAGCCTCGACATCACGCCTTTACCCTTTTAGCACACCTCTTTGTGTTACCCTTTTATCGTACCTCCCTGTCACAGGCCCATCACAAGCACAGCACCCACGGCAGGAGCACCCCGGGGCAACAGAGGGCAATGGTGGCTGAAGGGGTCTTCTCACCTTAGCCCAAACTGCAGGTCATTTTGCTCTTCCCTGCAAACACTACTTTTTTTTGCAACAGCCAAAAGTCACTGTGGCTCGGGAGAGGAGAAAGGAGCAGGAAATCGAATTCTAGGCTGGTGGAAACCCCTGACTTTTGGAGTTGCAGTGGACATCTATTTACATCGGCGGACTTTGGTCACGAGAGAGGGCTCCAGTGCTGCAGCCAGAGCCCATGTGCTCCCCATGGCTTTGGAAAATGGACATTGCCCAGTCTCCCAGGGAAGAGATGTCGTTTGTGTGAAATACCTGTAGAACCTCAGCTGGGAAGCACCACAAAGGGGCATGACACAGCCCAACCCAGGTCACATGCATGTTCCAGGCTCCTTGGTCAAAGCCACTCAAGGTCAGTAATGTGATAGTTATTACAGATGCAAGTAATAGCCTGAATGTTCCTGCCATACCCTCTTCACATCTTCCATCACACTCAGAGAGATCTTTTGCAGTTTGGTGAATACCAAAACCAACAAGACCAAATGCAGAGCACAGAGGCCCTGAGACACATCCCAGTATCCGCAGCAAAGCCTATCCACAACTGAGAAGCTAAGAATTTTCCTTCAGTTTGCTCATAGCTTCCAGCTGCATGCTTTTTTTCTTTTTTCTTATTCTGAAAGGAAACCGGAGCTAAAATTCAGGCAAGCAAAAATTGGTCCTTCCCAAAATACAAATCTCCCCATGACTATTTCCCTAAGCTGCAAGTTTATGAGTCTAAACTTTTGTTATGAAAACTTTTCATAATAGTACCTACAAGCCTGCCATGAATCAAGATCCCACTGCAGCAGACAAAACGTGAAAATCCCAACAAAAATTTCCTGTTCCAAAGAGACTAAAAAAGTCCCAGCTGAAGAAAATGATCTTATGCAATTAAATTTACAGTGCACTCTTCTTTACAATTACAGTTAGTGTGCAGAGCCCTGAACTTGAGGGTATATCTACATTAGAAAAGAATACGCATATTTAAAAAACTATAGCTGATAGCTTGCAAAATCCTAGTGAAAACAGGAATATTATAGACAGAGGGGAACAATATGTTTGTATGTACTACAATGCTGGAAACACATTGAGCACCATGCTTTTAAAACACATTGGTTAAATGGCCCAAATCTACCTCGGCACTCTTCGCCCCTGTGTAGAAAGAGGACTTCATAAGGAAAGAAGTAAATCTCAGTAAAGGCATGCGTCAGAACAAGCAAGATTAGAAACGTGCACGAAGGAGAGCGCAGAGGGTGTCCACACACGACGACACAGACAGAAAGCACCTTGGGAGGCTCACTCTACCTTCACTGCCATGATCTGCCCGCTGGGCATGTGCCGCATCTTCTCCACCACCCCGTACGCACCTCGTCCCAGCTCAGAGATGGGCTCCAGGTCATCGGCTTTCACCTCAAAGTTCTGCGGGGGAAAAAACCATCAGCGTGAAGGTGTCCATTGCACATACGGGCTATGCAAGGAGCGAAGCACCCCTAAAATCTAGTCCTGCTTGGCACATAAATTCACCTCTGTGCATGCCCCTCCCTGTCTGTGTTCATGAGGCTAAAACCAAAATCAGGTCCTCAGAGGCTGTCCAGGAGGATTAACCACTGTGCAGTAATTCGCAGAGCTCTGAAGAGGACATGCCTTGTAACCGCATCAGCAGGGAGCCTGTGTCGACGAGCATCCTGAGCAGGGCAGGTGCAGGGAGGACCGTCCCTTTGGTGGGATGCTCTCCCCGCCGGCCACCCGCACCCGAGCGCTCCTCCCAGCCACCTTTAGCTGCCAGCACTTTCAGCTTCTCCACCCTCTAAGGGCTGGGATGGAAAACACCATGGCAGCTTCTCCCCTAGGAATCACCTTCAGTCTTTTTTTTTTTTTTCCATCCTCCTCCTCCTCCCACAAACAATCATGGAAATATCTCCTGTAAAAGCTTATTTCTCCAGGCCTGTGGATGGGCCAAATACCAGCTGAGTGTGCCCCATTTTTAAACCACGGAGGATTTATTTTGTCTAGCATTCAAGATCTCTTTCCCCTGGCCCTGCACAAAGGATGACTTTGTTGGGAGCCCTGCATTCTAACCTGCCCTTCTCCTTTCTGCTGCGATATTGTGCAGCGGCTCTATTTTTTGCTTATTATTATTTTTGGATGTTTAAAATATGCCTTTGCTACTAAAAGCAGCCATTCTATTTGCTGAACGCACGACCACATCAGTCAGTCATCCTACAGAAAGAAGCGGGTTATACTGAACTGATTCACAGTCCATAATCCCACACCGCTTTTTGCCGGCACAGCAGAAAAAAACCTGCAGCCTGAGATGTGTTGGCTGGGGATGCCACGGCGTGCAGGGCCCATACACTGCGTTACTGTGCGCTCCGGCTCCCCGACATCCACTTGCAGCTACGTCGCCTGCAAAAGGAGCCCTGACTGACATTTTTGTGTAACGGCAGAGATTTAAGCATCTCTGACTGCCGGACACTGCTCCTACTGTTCAACAGGACCCTCTCCAAAAAAGCACTTTGACTCTCTCAAGGCCACTCTTACATTTAGCAGCAAAGTTTAAAGGGAGAGGAGGGAAAGTGGCTTTCCCTAGGGATCAGGGGTGAGTGTCGAAAGGCCGGTGGGAAGAGGGAGCACATCCTAAAGGAACTGGGCTGAACAAATAGGTAACAGATCTATGGGAAAGGCAAGCCATGGCACGTCAATCCCTCCGAGATAGCCACTTATCTGTGTCTGTAAAAAAGACTGAGCTCTGTGCATTTCTCTGCACCGTCCAACACGGGCTCTCTGCCTCCGTGCATGGAGCCTTTCTGGAGCGCTTGAGCTTTTCCTCATCCCTGGGACTGCAGGGGAGAAATTATTTTCTTGGAGCAGGCACTTGCTCTAGCAGCAGGCGTTTTCTCTGCCTTGGTGCTGCACCATTTTGCTCCAGAAGCATCTCATACTCTTTCCACCTTCCAGCCCCTGTTCCATGCCAGGGAAAACACAAAATCCAAAATGAAAGAAAAGCATCCAAATATAGACATTAAAAAACACTATTGGATTAGCATTTCACTTCATACATTAACTCACTGACAGCGAGGTCTATCTTTTGCACCTAATAAATGTATTGTGCAGCTTTAAAGTGGTTTTATGAATGCTGCTGTGCCTTTTTCTCCTATCAAAATAGCTGTCCTTGGTTTTGTTTTTTTCCCTGCTATTTTTTTAGAACATCAGGTGGACTGGTTTCCATGCTGTCCGAAGAATTTGCTTCCCAGGCAGGAAGATCTACCCTGAGTTAGACTGCTGATGAGATGGCCTTCAATATTAGCGAGGGGAAATACTTTGGATGAAGGCTTTAAATCAGCAACAGAACTGCAAAGGAGAGTAAAATCTGCTGTTAGTAATCCCTTTGCTTTATAATCATTATTTCCAGGGGATTAATTGCACCTTATTGAGGCAAGAAAGGAATTTCCAAGGTGGAGAACATGAAGGTGACCCAGGTGCCACGGGATGCAAAGGGTGAGCATTTGGGGGCATGTTCATCAGAGCAGTGACAAGCAGTAGGTGACACTGCAGCTGGCCACGGGGCCATCGGTCCCACGCAGGTAGCCCTTGTTGGAGAAGGGTGAACACCAGATGCTAGTCAGCTCTCGGTGGCTGTCGGGGCTCACACAAGCTCCCAAGCTGGCTCTTAACTTTGATTCATCCAGCAGCTGCCTTCCATTGCAAGCAAAATGGGCTACATTTGTTTTAATAGCTGCTGTTTATTAATCTGCCCTTTTGGGGGGGAGAGGGCTGAAGTTAAGCAATCCCATGAGCAGCCCACCTGGACAAGCAGCCAGCCCCACAGCTGCCAGCCCAGGATAGTCACCTGTCCCCAGAGGTCTTCTTCTCACCGTAACTCCTAGACTTACCTCCTCGCCAATAGAGATGCAGGCTTTGGAGTCTAGATCTCTGGGTGGCCTGCAGGAGAGAAAAGCGAAAAGATGTGAAATGTTCCTTACAAAGGTCCATTTTCCCTCAATGAGTAACTACAACCCCCGTGGTTCCCCAGGCCATCCCCTCGCACCTTCAGGCCAGCAGCCCTCACAGCCCTGAGCAGCCTAACCAGTCTCCGAGCTTTGCAGGATCAACAGATACAGCCAAGATCCAGAAAGTCACCCCAAAAAAGGGGTCAGGAAGGAAGCTGCTGGAGCTGGCATTTCTCACATCTAACCTCCCCGTGCTGGAACCCAGAGAGATTCACTACAAAAGGCAAGCCAGGTGGCAAGATCCAAATCTCTGCCAGCCTGTATGAAAAATGGATTAAAGGGGCGTAAAGATCTAAAACCACTGTAAATTATTACCTAAGTCATATAGTGCGGGTTAACAGGCTAATAAAAGTCAATCCTCAAGGAAGTAAGGAAAGCCAAACAGGCTGAAGGTGCACAAACTGCCTTAAAAACATAGGGTTTTCTTTTGCAAGACTGAGTATGTAGGGAAGGGGATGCATTTTTATGCCTTGACCAAATGCACGTTACTCAAACTGGGTGGCCGAAGTGTTAACCTGATCAGTTAAAATCAGGTGCCCATTCTATTTTTTCCTTTTCCTGGGCACGTCATTAAGTAGCACGTGAGATAGGTACCATGGGCAGTGATGGGTAGAGCATGATGGGCTGAGATCCCCTGGTTGTACCTCGGGCTACAAGAGAAATACAAGGGTTGTTAAGTTATTACCCTCCCTAATGGTGCCAAAATTAACCTAGGCGTTTTGCCCCCATTCCTTGCGAAGGGTCCCCGTTATCCCAGGCCTTCAAGGGTGAGCCCCGGGTGCTGGCCGTGACCGGCCATCGGCCCCTGGCCATGGCAGCGCAGGCGCTAGCAAAGGCTGGAAGGCAGCTGGGGTTCGTGGTTTTCTTTTTATTCTGCCTTAGTGTTTGCAGACTTACGTGGAGCTTGTCTGTGGTTGCTCAAATGCTTCTTTAGGAATTTTCAGCCCAGGGTTTCTCTTCTTGCCTATGAAACAAGGGGCAGAATTAAAGAAAGGCGCTTTTTTGGTTGTTGTTTTGTTTTGTTTTAATTTTCAAAACACAGCTTGTCTATATTTGTTGACCTTATTTAACATAAATGCCTGGCCAGGCTGGTGGTGTAGACTCAGGGCACAGAGTTCAAAACATAAAGTGCCTTTGTTCAGTAATGCTTCACTTAGACCTGCAAGGTCTGGCTGCCAACTTGGTACAGAAAACAGGCAAGAGCTCTGGCAAAGGCAGGCCATGTGAAAATGCAAAGTGAAAGGTATTTCTCCTTCGTCAGCCCTACCCACGTAGGATCTCTTAAAATGTTTCCTAGATTTTAAACCATTCCAGATACAGAACTGCAAACCCTGGTAAGATTAAAAATCTTTTTAAAATTGAATCTGAAAGCCCAGAACCAGATTCTGATTCTGTTGAAATGGATGTTTCACCTCTTGGTCATTAAAGTTGTGCAAACCCAGCAAAAATAAAGCAGAATTAAGTTTGCAGGCTTCAAAGCCATTTGTTTCTGTTCACACTGACCAGCCAAGCTTTTCTGAGCTGGATGAGGCTCAAGCTCTGAAGCAGTTCAAATGCAGGCTCTCCTGTAAAGGGGGTCCAAGCCGGCAGACACAAGAGCCAGGCAGACGAGAGAAATACAAGAACCTTTTTATGACTAAACATATACAGCCACATTTCAACACGGGGTTTTGAATTCATGGATAAAATAACCTGAAAACATAAGTCATGTCACCAAAACCCCAAGGTAAACATCTGGCTGTTTGGCTGTGTAATAAAATTCCCGGTCCCCAAAAAAGGCACAAGCAGCTAATTTAGGTGTTAAACATTTTTAACTGAACAATTTATATCAATTATCGTCTTTCTTTTAACCATGAGTTTTACTCTCAATTCCCAACACTCTCGAGCTTTACCTACACATGTTTGAGTTTGTTTTTCCTCTTGACACAAACTCATGTCAATAGATGTCTGTGCATCCCAGTGCCGGAAGGGTGCTAGATCAAAGTGCAGGCACCCAGAACCGAAAATGACCTCTTTGAAGCAACTAGTCAATTCAGATTGCCAATCTTTTTATTATTATTATTAATTTTTGTTCCTTGTCTGCTCCAAAAGACAGGATCATGCTTGCTCCTTTTGGCAAAGAGTCATTCCAGGATGGGACAGGCTACAACAACCCAGCTGACACCTCGTCAGAAAAGCATTTATTGGAAACCACTGTGCACACTCGCTATTGGTATTAGAAATCAACAGAGCTGCAAATTTACAAAAAGAAAAAAAAAAAAAAAGCCAATTCTCTGCTCCAAGGAGCTTCCAGTCTAACACACAAAAGACAAAATAAAAGAAGCAAGGTCACTCAGAAGCATGAAGAATAGCTCCCAGTTTTCCCAAGGGGTAAAAGCTGGTCTGTAAGGAAGTAAAAATCATCATAAAAACAAGTGGAGGAATTTCCACAGTTAGCAGAGCTCTTCTTTGACCCTTTTCCTTCTAGTTTTCTTAGTTGTACTACAAAGGTCGCTAGAAGGCACAACTGAGAAGCAAGCCCTGCTGTGCTAGATGCTCTAGATACCTTTTCTTGCCCAAGCTGCGCCAACTGCACATCGGATCCAACAGGATGCTAAGTGGGTAACAGTGTTCTTGATGTTGTCGTGTTTTAGCTAAACAAGGAATCTCAAAAATACAGGTCTTGCAGTGCAGGCAAACAAAACCCCTGTTTCTCTGGCAGTTTCTAAGTCTGACATCCCAGTGACCTCTCTGCCTCCAAAAACCTGCCGGCATCCTCTTGCAGTCCAAGCAAACAAGACAGCCATGGGCACAAGAAAAGCAGTATATTCATCTTCATTTTGCACGTGGACATCAAGATACAGAAACTCACTGACTTGCCCACGGAGGCAGGAACTGCCTCTTTAGAGCTGAACTCTTCCTATTAGCGCTCACCAGCCATCTCTTGGCATACTTCTACACATCGACCATCCACCCGCACTGCTGCAGTGACATTCACACAACCACCAAAATCAAAAGAGAAACAAGCACAAACTTGCTCTATTCTTCCCTTTTCCCTTTTTTTCCTTCGTGGATTTGCCTGCACAACCCCATGTGCTGTACCTGAACCTCAGGAACTTCCTCTCAGGCAGCTCGGGGGGGGGTGAAAACGAACCTACTGAAAATTAACCTCATTTGAACACGAACCAGAACAGGTTGTACAGCATTTAATCTTCTCATGGTTCACAAGCGGTGTCAGCAGAAGAACTAGGTAGCAAAATGCCAAACCCAAATAAATATTAAAAGCCTTCCGCCTTCTGGTGAAATAAAATCTGCACTTTGGGGAGTTTATTTTCCTTGTCTCTTCTTCACAGAATACAATATTTTGAAACTTTGCCATTTTTTTGAAGCACAATCTGTTCCTGTAGTTGAGTTGCCAAGACACAGACACAGTTTAACGTTCTTTGGGGTTTTCTTTTCAAGAAAGAAGAAAGCAACAACAGTAGCAAGAATAAAACAGGGATTTCACGATGGCACCAGGAGAAGGGATTGCAAACGGGAATTGCCAGGGCCAGGACTCGCACCTGCAGCACCAACAGCTCCTGCGGGATGAGCTCGGGGTGCGGAGGGGGAAAGGGGTTCCCCCCACACCACAGCTCACCGCCTGGTTATTTAATGAAAGTCTGGGGCTGCGGATCAGGCAATTTCATGCTTCTCAACTGGATCAGGCAAAGTTTCTGAGCTCCTTTTGTTACAACATGCAAAGTGCTTGTCTCTCCAAGTCTTCTGGGGCCAGTGTCTGCAAGCATCTTGCAAGAAGCATTAGCAATCCTGAACATGACACTGCCTTAAAACCAGAAGCAGGGAGCAATGGTCAGCATCGCTCTGCAGAGCCGTGGCTGCCACCCCGGCAGGCTGCAGAGGGGTGCAGGAACCGGGGTCCCCCCCTTGCCCCAGCTCCCCGGCTCCCAGCTGCACGGAGGGGGCTCAGCTGAGGCTCTGCAGCTGCTCTGAAAAAACAAGGGTCCAGGTCACACATGCTTGAAAGAGTTTCTCCCCAAAGGCAAACACTGATGCTTAAAGGGCTTTTCTTTAAAAAAAAAAAAACAACAAACTGGAAGTCCCAAGATCAGTTCTCTTCAACAATAACTGCCAAGCAAGTATCTCGCTGTCAAAATAAAACCCTCCAGTTCCCCATAGCAGACATCAGCTTTGAAAGATGACACTGTATTAAACTGCAGTTTGCAGAGAAAGTCATCTGTACAGGAGCTCAAAATGTGGAGGCAGCTTAATAACATACAAAATTGGATGTTACCTGTTCCATCCACCAGAAAACCAGTATTTTCCATAGTGTTTTTATGAATCATTATTATTTTTAGCTTTGTTTCCTGAAGAAACTCACCGCATGTGGGTATTTGACAGTCCGTGTCTCTTGCGGCAAGTGTACAGCCACGGGCCAACTTCAGCCCTATCTGGCAGAAAAACTGAGCTTTTGGAGATTGCAAAGCTGATAAAAACAGATGACTAAATAAAGGAGTCCCCAACTCAGAGGCAGGCTGAAGCACCAAAGCAACCCATGGCAGACACCAGGCGTCCACGTTCAAGCCGTGCAGAAGCCCCAGGTGTCTCAGCCACCAAAAGAGCAGCACGGGGCTCAGTCCTGAGGCACAAACCAGCCGGGGCCTGAGCATCAGTGCAGGGGCTTCACTGCAACTCCTTGGGATTTGCAATAGGGAAAGCCCCGATGAGCCATCATACAAAGCATGAAGTCTAAGCGTGGCTCCTTCTCCAAAAGGTCCACAGTCCTGGTTGATCAACAGATGGGATCGTACGTCTGCTCCCCAGCATCCAAAAAGTCATGAGTTTTCTGCCTAAACAACCACTGGTGCCTTTCTGGCCTCTGAGCCTTCAAGCTAAAGCTCATTTGAGAGCTCTCCCTGCAATTTGCCACACAGAGACTTCCACAAACACTTGACTCCAAAGCCAAGTTTTAATAATAATTGAGGGAAAAAACCAGACTGGTTTGGAGCGATGCTGAGAGACACCTCCAGAACTGAGTTTTGATTCAGCAGAACATCCAGGGTATCTGTGACATTAAGCACAAGATTAAATCTACTTTCTTTCAGCAAAGCAATTACCCGCAGTAAATATTGAACTAACTGGTGCTAGAGAAGTTGCCATCTTTAAAAATACTCGGTGTTTTCTTGGCAAGTGCACTGATCAGGACAGCAGTAACGCAAGCAGTCAGCTGCAACATCAGTGCGACCCTCTTGGCCAGCCCAAGTCAGTGCTGAGAACGAAGCGAGGTCTGAAAGCAAAACTGTTAATAGGAAAAAGAAAACTTGACTTAATGAAAACACATTAAATACTTCCCTGTGAAAGTCTTAAACTCAATTCCTGAGGGAGGGGAGAAAAATACAACTTCCAATGGGCTTGTTAACCTCTTCCCACCAGCACTGACAGAGCATACAGAGAGATTGATGCTGCTAGCCCCTTGCAATTAGGGCAGCGTTAAATATCAATATTGAAAAAGGAAACTTCAAAGTTTCACAGCAAAAGGGTAGGAAGCATAACAAAGAATAATAAAGAAAGAGAAGACAGAGGAATTCACTACCCACATATGCTGTAACAGAAAATAAACTTCTACTTCTGAAGAAAAATCCCATTCCCCACTCTCCAGCCCTTTCATTGCAGTCAAAAACTTTTTATGATATAATCCAAAGTAAATGGTTCCTTGCCACAAAAAGCTCCTATTTCCTTCAAAGGATATTAACCAGTTCTGTCTTCACCACAATTTATTATTAAAGCTGTGTTCAATAGCCATGCAGCAACACTTTCTTTCAAGTAACACTCTTTAGCATATACTTCGGTGGTAAAATTCCACAGGCGGGAAATGCCTCTTTCTCCCACTTTTTTAAAGAGATAAAAGTGGCTCATTTACTATTCCTGTCTTTCCTAATGATTTTTTGTCTGATTTCTTGAAAGGTTTTGAAAGGCAAACGATCTGTGTTTCCCCTATCAGCTGTACTCAACCACGTAAGCAGAACTCTCACCCCTAACACGAGGGCAAAACCGAAATGCTTGATATGCTTCCATGGAAGAAGAGTGCACCGGCATCTCACGGGCTCTGCAAGACAGCCCTGTACCACAGGGCCCCACAGCCAACATCGCGCCCGATACTGAAGTGCCACTACGTCCACTTTGCAGTGGGAAAGGGCCCATGGCCATGGCTTAGGTGCAAAACCCCAAACTGAGATGGTTCTTGCAAAACCAAGAAAATAAGATTAACTTTTTTTTTGTCCCAGATGCCCTGGAAATGCCCAGCAGGAGACAGCTCTTCATGCAAAGACTTGGTCTTCAACTGCAAAAGGCACCTCTTACACATAGCCCAGTTCCAGACCCTATCTCAGCAAGCAACGGTAGATTTGATGCTGTCAAAGAGAAGTTCAAGTCTTGCAGGCCAGGTGAGAAAACCCAAACCTCCGAGAACTTCGCCCGTTAACACGCCTGGACCCAGGCACATAAACACTGAGATACCTTAAAGCTGCTCACAGCACCCAGGGCAGAGCAGGGTCACCTGGAGCAATTGCTGATGTGGAAGATGTAGCAAACTCATATCTAACATCAGTTTCACAGAGGGTGATCAAAGAAGGGGAAAAAAATTATTAAGTATTAAAGATCATCTCACAGGTTTCTTATTTATGCTTGCAAATTATTAAAGGTTAAGGCACACATAATGGTTAAAGTTGATGCAAGCCTATCCTAGCACACATGAGAGTCCAAGGGCTGGTGATGGACTTGCCCATCTCCTTTGGTCCTCAGTCATCTGCCCCAGCAACAGCTCGTCACCGCTCACCAGTTCTCAAGGTGAAAAGCCTTTATTTCTGCCCAGGTCTCTCCACCAAGGAATCCCACGAATGGGGACGCCCCAGCCAAGCGTAAGAGGAGCGGGAAGGCCAAGTGCATTCCTGGTATCCCCGCAGTCAAACACTCACCACCTGTAGACTAAACAACAGTCACCGAGCAAAGACGCCTGAGATTCCCTGCCAAATCATTGTGCTTAAAAATTAAAATACATGTAGATAACAAAGTATATTTTAAATGAGTGGGTCTGAGGGAGAAGCCATGCTGCCAGAGCTGTACCTGGACTCGTTTTTACAAGCTGGTTCCATTCCAGCTGAAACAGAAATGAAGTCCTCAGTCAAAGAGAACAAACACAAATGGGTGTAAATTCATGAGCTAGCCACTTCTGGTGGTTTTAGCAGTACAAATGTATCTTCCCGGGCAGCCACTTCCCAGAGGCCGCCCCACTTGGCTTCCCATGGGTTGCTGTGGCATCTCCACAGCCATGACCACAGGGCCTCCCGCATCACCACTGCCTTCCTCCCACGGGCTTCATCGGTGTGAAAGCCTTTGAATTTTGCCATCCAGGTAGTCAAAGTACAGAAAAATAATTTAAGTGTAAAAGATTCTTAAAACCTATTGAAGTTTCAACCAAAGGCCAAGGGAAGAGATGAAGTGGATGTTGTGCTTTATTTGCCTCCTTGGAATATATTCAGTTGCTTTCTCCTTAGCCCTGTCAATGAGTAAGAGTGACCAAGCACCACTGGCTGTTCTTCCATTGCTGCCATGAGCAACTGGATGGGTCGGAGGGAAATGGAGATGCTCCAGTGAGGAACACGGTACGTCCTCTGCGCAGGACAGGGACGTTTCCTGCATGTCCTTTCTCTGTGTCTTCCCTCGCAGTTGTTTGCAATGACTCCTTGGAAACGGCAAACTTGAAATCTGTTTCCTTAACAACTCATTTCAGGGAGAAGGGAGCCGAGCCTGTCACAGTCATGGGGCTGAGACATCTCCCAGCTCTGGGCATCCTTCCTCCCGTTTTGGTGCTGCAGAGCTGCCGGCTCGTTTGGTGGCCGTTGGCACATCCAGCTCTGAACACGCTGGCACTGCTGCCAGCCCCATCACTGCACCCCATGGCCGTGATGCAACTCACACCTTTCTGTCTCAAGAATTGAAGCATTATTTTTTTTATACTTATTTTTCCCCCAGGAACCACATTTTGGGACAGGAGGTGGGAAAAGCAAAAGCACTTTTATGATGCAATGGATTTTGTCAACGCGTACCAGAATCAGGATATGCCCGAAACACTGCGTGAGACACAGGGATACCACGGGACAGCCCTAATTGCCTCTGAACTCCTAGTCCTCCACTCCTCTTGGTGCTTTTCTCCAAAAAAAAAGGAAGAAGTAAATCTCATTTCATACCAAACCTGGAAACGCCAGCAGGCCAAGTGGAGTGCTTGAGTCACCTCTCCTCGCTCCTTCCCTCTGCCTCTCCTTTCTGGCTCTGACTGATGGCTGAGCCCGCACAGAGCGAGGGGAACCTGCTCCTAAAGGCACCTCCCAGAGACTGAACCCGCCAACACATCGCCCCGAGTGCAACCAAATTTGCTTTGGCAAAGTGGAGATGACCTCAGAGCCACAGCCCAGAGGCAGATACTTTCTTTTCCCAAATTCAGTCTGAGCAATGAAAATAGAGAGACAGAAAAACCCTGCATCTCCATCTGGAAAACCTACATCTGGAAACCTGTACAGTAGGAAACCTTGAACTGTTGGCACTACACGTGAGCAGATGATGCTGCATTCACCTTCCACTGTAATTCCCAAGGCTCCTGAAGATAAGAAGAGCATGGCACGCCATGGCCTGGGCACAGTTCACCCAGTGACCACGTACTGGCCGATCCCACACTACTTACCGATACCATTAGCACCTACGGTGCAATGCTGAAAATGTAATTTGCCATCCCACCCCAACGTCAGCCGTGCCTCAGCGCCCAGCCGGGCCGGCAGCTGCCCCGGGGTTTCTTTGTCGGAGGGCTCAGCTCGCTCCTCTGACTCAATCCTGCAACCTGTAATAAACCCAGACCAGGAGAGGCTCTAAACCAAAATAGCAGGGCTTTTGCAAGGAGCAACGGAGGTGCGCCGAATGAACCGCGTGGCAGAGGTTGCGCAACGTCTGCTCGGATCGCGCCAGAGTTATTTGCGTCTCAGGGCCTGTCTCCGCGGCAAGAGCGAGCTGCGTTTTCCTCTGGCGGCGGCTGACGTAGGTCAGCTCCGCTGAGGCACAAACACAACGGAGACAAAGATCTTCAGCTTTACTGCAAGGTAAAATCACAAGGTCAGTCCTTCACGCCTGCCTCAGGATTGGCCTCCAGCAGGAGACAGTTTGGTGGCGAAGGTCTGAACGGCACGGGAACAAAATGCTGGAAGAAGGCGAAGCAGAAAGCTTTGCAATAAGGACTCCAGCAGACTAATCTCTGGATCCCGCAGTGCAGAAACATACAGAAATGTCACCAAACTGTGCAAATATCAGAACCTATTTGCCTGCCTTTCAATAAGCTCTGTATTTCAGTAATTCAATTTTGAAGGTAATTTCCTGATTCGGGCTAATCTCTCTTACTCTGCCCATTTTCCTCTTAACACATCCTGCAAAAGGGCTGCAGGCTGCTGTGTTTATTCGTGTCAATATAGAAACCTGAGGGATGCAACTTCTTCTTATCTATCTACACATTTTGGTTAAGACAGTCTGTTTGTCACTCTGATAAGAGCGCATCTCTGAAATTTAGAAGAGTTAAGACCTTCTGAGTGTGAAGCGGAAGAGACACTTTGATAAGAGATTAGACACCAGCTCCTGTGCTAAGACATGCACTGAAACAGGGCTGCAGGGACCCTGGGGGACAGGGAGCTGATACAGCTTTTGGGCAACTCTGTACCCGCCTGGAATGCCCCACCAAATAAAACCGAGCCCCCCTGCAGCCCCAGTCTGTAGGGGCTTGCAGGGAGTAGTGGGGTAATCACGTGCTGGAGCAACCTTCCAGCAGGTTTTGTGGGACACCAACACCCAATGTGTTTGGAGATGAAGGCTGGCCGTCTGATGGAGCGCGTGATACAACACGGCTGCACGGGAGAGGGGATGAGGGTTTAGGATGATGCTTTGTGTCTTGGGGAAGTTGCTGCCACCTCGCTGAGCTGATTCATGGGCTCCCACACTGGCTTGGACTTTCTGTTGCCAGGACCTTGGATTTCACTTCCCAACTGGGCTCTGCCCTGATGTGTCCCCTGCTCCCCATTCCAGTGTTTGCTTGCAAGAATACCAACATGAGAGGTAACGGGGCCTTCAGCGCCCATTTTCACGCTCACAGACCAACAAAGAGCAGCCACATGCTCCCTTCTGATGCTAACAGGGAGGTGACCACAAACAGCTTTTCCAGTTAACGTCCCTTCCCGGCCCAGACGCAGCATCACTCCCAATCTCAGCAAGGGAACCGCGGGCACAGCGTGGGGCCACTCATCATGTTCCTGTTGAGCTGGTGCCAGGACCACGTTGGTATCTGCAGATGTGACAAGGCAAGACAGAGTCCTCCTCGACATCCTGCACTGCCGAGGCAGCCTTTAGATTAGCCAGCTTTTCTTCAGAAAACAGATGCAATGCAAAACAGCCCTAAATCCATCATACGTTAGGTGCTAATGTAAGTCGGAGATGGTAGATATGAGAGTTTTGCCTGCCTACGGCTTTCAGCATAGGGCACAAGAGACTTTAATATTAAAAAACCCTGTTACAACACTTTGGCTGAACTCATCTGGCATGTGCATCCAGCTGCTCGAACTTCGATGGCCTGGGGGAAAGGGCACAGCTCCTCCCAAACAGCAGCACCTCTGTGCAAACGGTGGCAACATCACCGAGCAGGAAAGGCACCCCATGCACCAGGAGCTGGGAGCATCTGCTCTCGGGCCATTCCACCCAGCCTGGGGCCCACCTGCCCCGAGCAGACCCCCAGCACCAGCCCTGCCCCTGCACGGCTCTCCAGGGATCACCGCCTTCCTCCTCAGTGCTGGGATCTCCCAGGCAAAGTGGAAATGTTCAGTTCCCTGTGGATTCACCCCAGCTGCAAGATGCTCTGTCAGGGACAGGCGCTGCCTCGTGATCCATCGGATAAAGAGGGGAGGAGGTGGGGGGTGGACGGGACTGGGCACCAGGATGTGCACGCTCCAGTTTCAGCTCTAACGATCCTGTCCATGGCTGCAGGCAAGTGAATCACAGAATCATAGACTATCTCGAGTTGGAAGGGACCCATAAGGATCTCATCGAGTCCAACTCCCAAAGTTGCACAAGCCTTGTTTGTGTGCGTGTCCCCTCTCTGCCTAGCGTGCAGGTGTGCTGCAATAATTAATTAAGACAAAAACACCTCTGTTGCTTTGGGCTCTGACTCACATCCACCAAAGCAAAGGACTTCCATGGATGAGGATGTTGGCAGCTGCCAAAGGATGCTGCCCACATTGCACGGGGGGCACAAGGCAGCACGGGCTCACGTCACTGTCTCATTCCCCTTGCACTGGAGAGAATTAGTCCGAACCCATGGAGGTGGCTCAAGCGAAGGACGGGAGATCAGCACCGACCTCCACCAGGCTTGTGAGCCCTCTCCGACACCCTTTAGCTGCAAGGAGACACCTGCCCGGGCCAAGGCTGGGGCTCTGCCTTGATGCTCCGGACACGCTGGATCCTCCAGAGAAGACCACTGTGGAGGTACATGCATAAAAACATAAAATGCAAAATTCAACACCCCCATCTCCAGTAGTCTGACAGAAATCCTCCAGGGACCTGAGCCTCTTCCTTCTTCTCACCTTGCTTTGCCTATTTTTCCACTCATCAACTTAATTTCATGGGTGCACCCAAGCCTTCCTCATCACGCACAGAGAAAAACCACTTCCACTCCTCTCCTCCCATCACACCGTCTCAAACACCCTCAAATCCTGCAAATCACTCACGGCTGCCCAACGTGAGGTTGCGAGAGCCAAAGGCAGCTAACGGCTCAGGAAAACCTTATTGGGATCCAAGTGATGCCAAAAAGGACTTTGTTTTCTGCTCCTCGCCGTTGCTGGAGCGGGTTACGTCCCTCGCGCGGCTCCTGCACCTCCAGCATTCCGGCAGCTGCATCCTCCCGTTGCTCTGGGAAAGATGCGATGGTGGCGGAGATCCCAGGGAGCAACAGAGGCCATCGGGAGCCTCGTGGCCTCTCCCCTCACCCCTGTTATCATGAGAAATCACAGCAGTGGAGCTCCGGGGAGGCGAGCAGCGGGGGCAGTCGCTCCCTCCAGTCACCACTACGCCATAAATCAAGCCCATATTTTCCCTGTGCCAAGGTCCGCTGGCTTCGCTGCCTCCCTATCCCAGAGCCTGTTTTCTTTGCTGCTTATCTCAAATTAGGAAATCCACAGGAATTGCAGGCCGGGGAAGCTGTTTGTCAAGAGCCTCCAGCCCTCGTGGGGATTTTTTATGAGGGACTTTTCGTTTAGTTGCTGCTTTGTTTTCAAACCCTCGGCTGTCTGCTTGCAGTGGGAGTTTGCTGGAATCAAAACTGGAGAAAAAGCTCTTGGAATTCACCCGGGGAACAAAAGGGCTTTTGTGCAGGAGGATTTGGAGGACGCGGCTGCTTTCATTGCCGCTACCTTCATTTCTATTTTCTCCCCGCCAAAGAGCACCTGCCAGCGGTGCCGGAGGAGGTGGCGGTGGGCTGCTGCCCACGGCCAGGGGGGACACGCGTGGGCAGGAGGATGGACACCTCCCACGCCCGCAGGCAGCAGAAGAGAAGCGCTGCAGGCAGAAGGGTGAAGTGCTTTCCAAATGTTCGTGCATCGTGGCGTGCAAGGCTTACCCAAGCTTCGCTCTCCCTGCCCTGGCTCTGCCCCTCGCATAAAAGGCTGGGGATGGGCCCTGGTCCTCAGTGCACCAGCAGCACCCTAAAAACTCTCCCAAGGGATGGGCAGGCTCTGTTGTGCCAGTGGGTGCTCCCACGCGATGCAGCCCTGAGGACGAGGGGCTGAAGCTCCCACGACCAACATGTGCGCAGGGATGCTGCGGGTTTGCCCACGAGCTGGGCATCATTCCCGCTACTCCACTCGCTTTTTTTCACTTCCTCTTATCCACCAAAATTTCACCTCAAAACACCACAGTGAGTGACCACATGCAGCTATGGGGCTCTGACCAACTTCCCATACAAATATCTAGCAGATAGCAGCAAGTCTCCTATATTCAGCATAAAAGCAGGTGCCCTGTCTGCCTCAGCCACGGTGGGAGCAGGATTTGCCTTAAATCCACCAGCCCCAGCCCAGCTACAAACACTTCCACACTTCCCAAACCCACCACTCCCTGAAAAACGTGACACAGTAAAGGAGCATCCACCTCCTTTCCCCACTGCTCTGCAGAGCCTCAAAACCCAGAAGATCCCCTCCCCATCGATGCCTTTTTGCTCGAGGACTCCCTCCAGTTTCAATTTTGCGTTTCAGGGTTTTTAAATGTGCTCAGTGCAGCTGGGATTTTCTCCCAGCAGGTCCTGCAAGGTGTTTTTAAAGAAGCATCACTGCCGGAGCGAGGCTCCTGCAGCAGAGCTTCATTTCCTCGGAAAAACCAGATCGGCTTCTGCATCTGCCCCAGCTGCCCGGACACCGAGGGGTGACGAGTCCGTGCACCCGGCAGAGCGGGCGAGGGGCCGCCGCCCTGGCAGCGCCGGCACCGCACTTTCCAAGCCAGGGCCTCTTGGAGCTGTCAGATGTGCTGCCAGCCCAGGGAAATGCAAATTGCTTTGGAAAACGAAGGTGACATTTCCACCCGCTTGCTGATTTCTGCTGTGCTGCAGACTCAAAAGCCCGATTCAGGCCTGTGGCTCCAGCTATGAAGGTTCTTATGTCTTGACGGTGCTTACATTTAAGCACGTGCTTACCGTGAGCACACGTTCCTATTAAGGCTGTATTAAGCGCCAGGCTGAGCAGGAACGTGTAGGTAAAGGCTGTGCCAGACAGTTGTCTTTGCAACGGCTGCAGCAAGCATCTGTCCCCCGGGCACCTGCCTGCAGGCTTCAGCCCATTTTTCAGCCATACCCACCAAACGGCACAACCCACACGTCGGCACTGGTGGCCGTCCCTCTGCAAGTGGTGGTGTCACCTCGTCATCATCCTCCTGTGCCTGAGATGCTGCCAAGGGATTGTTCAGCCAAAACAAGTCAGGAGGTTTAAACAGGGGAAGAGCAGGACTTCGCTAAATCAGGAGGGTGTGTGGGCCAGGAAGGATTCCCCTGGGGAGCTCAGCAAATCGGCCCTTTGGGGTGTCACTGTCCCCAGGAAAGCACGCACAGTTATTCATCCTTCAGCTCTGAACCGCTGCTCCTGACGTGTTAACGCAGCCCCATTTCTGTGCCGAGATGCTTCTGCTCGCTGAGCAGGATCGCACCTTGTCTGTGGGATACCTCTCTTGGTGTCATTACCCTCGCAGCAGGGCAGAATCAAATCTAACCAATACCACAGGGCAATCTGAGGTACGGGTTTATTTCTGTTACCGGATGCTCCAGGCAGCCACAGCAGTCTCATTTTACCAAGCACACATTTAATTTGTTCAGCATATTGTAAATGTTGGACATTGAAACCACGCTGCTATCAGCCATCTTCTACTGCTGATGTGCTGCATATAAAACTTGAGTTTATCATTTCTGCTGATGAGTACAGCCACCTTAGGACAAAATGGGCAATTTATGTTCCACAGAGAGAAAACTGCCCGTTGATTTGGTCATTCTGCGAGTTATAGAGTATCAGTAACTTTTACAGCCAAATGGGAATGTCCCTGGAAATAGAGGGATGTGCCACAAGCCATTTCTTCAGTAAGCATCCTCACCCTCTGCAGAAGGTCCCTGATGAACAGGAGGGCTACGTTAATCCACGTGGTCTAACATCCGCTGTGCTCCTCAGGGGAAAACAGCACCTCGGGGCTGAAAGGATTTAATAACCAGTGCCCAAGTTTTACAAGACACCTCTAGACTGAATGACTTCTCTTCAGTCCCCAAGTTGTGCTGTTCTGTTTGGCAGCTGGCAATTGTTTGTTTCAACTGAAAGTGTTGAACGGAGGATAATTTTAGGACCACTTTCCTCTTCTATGGTGCAAATAACACTCGGAAGAATTTCAAATCAATTTTCTTCCCAGTGATACGGTGCTCACGCTCTGTCCTTCACTCGTGGCTCAGGCCAAACAGTCGAGTTGATTAGAAATGTGGTGGCAATCTCGCCCGGAGGTTTTCCTGCATTAGAAGGCGGCCGTGGCACCCGCAGCGCTGCCATGGGAGGAGAGGATCTGCTTCCTTGCTTAACACTTTGTCATGGGGAATCTTTGTAACAGTTCAGCCAAATATTGTGATTAAGTTTTCAACACAGTCAAGACTTTGACCAATCCACCTTTGTGTCACCCTACTAGACAGCTCTTTGTTGCTCTTCTTTTATTGATTTAAGGGCTTATTTGCTTATTTTTGTACCTAGATTATTAAAGATGGTATTTGACAGTTCTAGACAGCGTAGATGGGAGGAACTAACTCGCGCTCTCTCTGCTGGCA